CCAAACGGGTGTACATGTCTTTACCAAAAACCAAGCACGTATCCTTATCAATAGGAATCTAATGTTTTTTGAAACATTCAAACCGGTTGAGCGGTGCTCCCGAAAACGTCGACTAAAAATTGTATCCATACATAATACATACTACATACGTACATTATGTACGTATTGTGGTGAATGCCCGTTAGCGTGGGTGATTACAAGATTAAAACACTGAGTTTATTTCATACATTTATTACAATTAAAACGATGATACTTAAAAAATTTTATCGTCTATATATATGCCGTCTATATATCGTCTATAGTATGTGTTATGTTTATTATGTATTATGTGTATGTACGGTACATACACACACATCAATTTTTATAAGGTATGTCATAATGTTTCGAAACCTCTGAAACGTAAACATAAGCAAAAATTTTAATTTTTTAGACGATAAAATTTTTTAGACGATTATAAACAGGACTACAGGAAGTAATTAAATCAAGAGATTATAAAATATGTATATATTTGGCTATTTTAATTGTAATTACTGTCATGGTTAAAACTAAATAAAATAAAATTGTCACTATAGTATAACAAATTGCAAACTAGTTAAAAAATTACAAATCTTTACATATCTACACAAAAAATACAAACGTCATAAAAATAATATAATTTTGGAAAATCAACTAAAACGTTTTATGTTATAAAAATGATTATTAGAATACTTTCAGTAATAATTTTTGTAAATTTCTGAAGTACTACATAGAAAGCATTCACATCAAATGATGAATATTTTATAAGAATTTCAAATAACAAGAATCGAAGAATTTCAGATTACCATTTGTCATTTGATTCTTTTTAATATTGTAGTTCTGATAAAGATAGGTCACGATAAGGGCTTTATTATCACAATGTTACAACCATAATTTAAAAAAAACGTTTCTTGTGTTAGAATTACAATGTTTCATTATATCATTATTTTATATGTATACATATAACCAGTACTGGATTTACAGTAGGGGAAGCCGGGGCTACTGCCCATGGCGGCAGATTTTCGGGGGCGGCAAAATTTGGATAGCGAGAAAAAATGCTATGCAATGAAATTAACTATTTTTTTTAATAACATTTGTTATTTCAAGAAATATAATTAACAATATACAAACATAATACGTTTGGAATGCAAAAATGGGGTTCAAAAAACCGATAATTAAAATTTATTATTTTGCTTTGCCTCCCTCTCCGAACGGAAATTATGAAATTGGTTAATAAGTTATTATCAAATTTGGCAATTTGGCAATATTTGCAGTACTTAAAGAAATATCAATAGGCTTTCAAACGCCAATTAAAAAAGTGGCCCTACTAAACTTGCTATCTGATAACATCAATCAAAAAATTATTTTATCTTTTCAGCTTATAATAAATGATTATTCGGTATTGATTGTTCTACATAAATAATGTAGTCTAAGCCATTGTGAGTTGAATCAGGTAAATTTTTATTTGTGTTATGTTCAAACTCACTTTTATGGTTATGCCAAAAAGTTTGAAAAAAAGGGTCATTTGGCATATTTCCAATGATATCTCGGCCATAAGATGAGGTACAAAGTTGAAACTTGGTATATCGGATTTTTTCAAAAAGACCTTTAAAATTATTTAAATACCAGGATGGGGCCAATTCTGAATGGAAATGCGCCCATACTCAAATTTAATGCTTACTCCACGTTTCCAGTCATTCTGCAATTCTGTGAGCCAAAATATGACATTTTGTAGACGTTTCGACACCGAATTCAAAAATTTGAGAAACATTTGATGAAGCCGTTTATCTTTCCGCGTTCGGCGGGCCGTATTATATAATTTGCACATAAATGCAACTATTTTCGTGATCGTGAAAATTGTTTAAAGGTATAACAATCATTCGAAAGATATCAGTGGTAAATCGTAATGATTAGTTTTTGATGAAGATTGCCTTTTGATGAAGATCGTAATTATACTCAAGTTTGGAATGATTAAAATTATTTATTTTACTATAAAACTTATAATAAAATAAAATCTATTTTTTATACTAATAACCAAATGTAAAAACAACTTAAAACCAGCGAAAAATTTAATGCGATTTTGTAATTCCAAAACAATTAATCTCCTCAATTAACCTTTTTCCATGCAAGTAAAAAAAACTCATATATTATGTAAACCTATTAATTTATAAATTAGAATAAAAAAGCATGCCGTTAATTCTTATAGTTCTTGCTGAATTAAGGAATTTGATACATTCGGCAATATAATATAAGATCGTACAAGTAAATCATAAAACTAATAAATGTAACATGAAGTTTCATAAACGTGTTACAAATAAGAAGAAAGACAAGTGACATTTTCCAAGAATTTCTCTCATTATAATTTAAAATAGCAATTGACGTAGCATTAATAAGACAAATATGGCATACATATATATCGTATATACACACACACACGCATATATATATGTATATTATATACATAGTACACAGTATATATATATATAATATATATATATATATATACATATATATATATATATATATATATATTTATTTATTAGGTGTACAACTTTGCTTCCGCCGTTTTGTTCCACAATTAAAAGCTTTATTACAAAAAAGTGCTTACAGATGTATTATTCAAAATATTGTCCATCGCTAGCGACAACTTTCTCCAATCTTTCCGGCAATTTTCGGATCCCGGCTCGAAAAAAGGAGTCCTCTTGTGACGCTATCCATGAAGCAATCCATTTTTTTAATTCTTCGAAGGATTGAAAGTTTTGATATGCCAGGCCGTGTGCCATCGAACGGAATAGATGGAAGTCAGAAGAGGCGACATCTGTGGAATACGGCGGGTGGGGCAAGACTTCCCATTACAGCGCTTCCAGGTACTTTTTGACCACTTTTGCGACGTGAGGCCCAGCATTGTTGTGTTGGAAGATGACTTTGTCATGTTGCTCTTGATATTGTGGCCGCTTTTCTTTTAGCGCACGACTAAGGCGCATCAGTTGCGTTCGGTAGCGATCTCCTGAGTTGGTTTCACCCGGATTTAAGAGCTAGTTGTTTATCTTTGAAGTTTTTTTTTTCCTTCTACCATGTTTGTTTTCGGCATCGAAATCACCATTTTTAAAACGTTGAAACCACTCCCGACACGTTCTTTCACTCAGAGCAGCATCACCGTAAGTTTCTGAGAACATTCGATGCGCTTCAGCTGCAATTTTTTCGAATTGTAACAGAAAAGTAAAACTTCCCGCAAATGGCGAGAATTGGGCACATAAACGGACATTTTCGAGCGTGAATAATACGAAAACAAGAACAACTGTCACTGAAACGGAGATGACTATTTGTTAGGCATTGTCCCCACTCACTTTAAAGGCATTATCATCTATGTAGTTTAACCAGCCTCAGCCGGTACAGCCTCAAATCGGAAACGGCGGAAGCAAAGTTGTTCACCTAATACATTTCCATGATTGACATTTATTGATTGATGTTTGCCATTATATATATATACATATATATATATATATATATATATATGTGTGTGTGTATGTGTGTGTGTATGCAAATATCAATTTTTTATGAAGTAAAATACACTTTTTTACAAAAAAAGGTTATTATTTCTACGTTCTCGGCATACGCATGTCTTCTTCTTCGGAACGTTGCAATGATGAAATTTAAAGAAACTTGAATAAACACAAAATTAAGTTATACGTCCACTATTGTAAAAATTGACTAATTTCGAGAACGACAACGCCGATTTCAAAAATTTAAAATTCATTGTTTATCCAAGTTTCCGCTAAAAAGCCTGAAACCATTTAAAATGATTAAAAATCTTTCGAAGGTTAGTTGGAAATCGTGCTGTTTAGTTTTCGGTAAAGACCAGCCTTCATAATTATTTGTTGAAAACACAGTTTATTTGACAGTTTGGATTAAGCTATGTACGATAATAGGATTTATGATTTTCAGAAACACCCTAAAATATATAAAATAAAAATATAAGAATTCATTGAAGGTTAAAATAATGGATCGCGTCAAATTTTCAGAACTATATTGCTACAATTTTAAAAGTTGCTAAATTTTAAATTTTATTGATTAAGTCGATTTTTTATACATATTGCCTAACTGCAAAATGCAGTATATCGTACTTGAATTTGTAAATAAAATTTTATGGACAAATTCATAAATTTACTAAAATTTTGATCATTAATATTATAAAGTCTCTATTATATATTTAACCAAGTTTATTATTTAATTCATTTGTACATATAAAAATATTTCTTCATTGATGTAATATAATAGTCTAATATATAATATAATGAAAGAGGTTTTTCAGAACAATGTTTTGGATTTCAAAAAATTAGCAGGTTTAACTAACTATGAAACCATCTCGAAACCTCAATATGTAAAATTTTTGTTACAATAAATTGAAATTTTGCTGATTACATTATTCAAAAATAATTCTATAAACAATATTGAACTGATTTATAATAATAGTCTTGATTTGTACTTTGGCAATGATTTTGCTGATGCTTCATTATTGAAAAATTACAAAATTCACAATGCTTTCGTTTGAAGCAGCCTTTAGATTGTTATAATACATATAATATTATCCTACTTATGCTATCTTATAATATATACTTATACATTTGAATAAGGAAGGTATTCAACTAATAATTAAAAATATTCGAAGGAAAAGAAGTGGCTAATAGAAAAATATTGTGAATATTAATAAATGTTATATGATGAATCATTCTTTTAAAAACTATTTACTTATCCATTGTACTTTTATGTAATTGATTGTTTTGCCTAATCTTCAAATTCAGTAATATTTTAAACCAAAAGTTGAATATCTACCTTATTCTTGATACATTATTTTATGCGTATATAAAAATAAGTAAATGCAAAGTGATGTATGTTTAGATTCACCATGACACTATTCAAGATTTTTTTGTGATTAAGTGAAAATATACAGTTGTTCTCTATAGTGACATGATTAGTAATTAATTTCATTGATCAGCACAATATTCTCCTAAACGATCGGAGATGCAGTCGAAAACATCGTATGCGGTGTCACATTGTTGACCACCATCTGGAAAATGAAATAATTTAAGTCATAGTTTTTAATGATACATGAAATGACTAGTCAGATTGTGACAGTTGTGCCAGGGTAGTGACAGTCGTCTAAACTATAAGGATCTTGAGATAGTGTCCAAAGGGAGAGGTATGTTTGCTCCAAAAAGTTTTCATTATTGCATTGAGTCTGCACCCTACATTAACATGATCTGAAGACCGTATACAGATAAATTACTTTATTTGTTATTTTGCTGTAAGTTTTCTCCCAGCTATCTGGTAAACTAATAAAATTATTGCTGATAAAAAAAGTGGCACAACCGTACCCTATATCTCTGTCTTGTGTAGATTTTATTAGAAACGAGTTACTTGGACATAGTTAGGATCTAGCAAAAAAGTTCATAACAGAAGAATTGTAAAACGTTAATGATCTTTTCAAATAATAATAAAGTATTATTCATTAAAATAATAATTATGGCACAATTAATTTTTTTCAGGTACAAATTTTTGAAATTATGTTTGATTATACACCATCATGATAAACACGCTTTTTACTATTACCCTGGAGTGAAATCTATTTGAAATGTTAGAAATTCGTTTTTAATTTGTGATGATTTGAAAAATATTAAGTGAATGAATGCATTTTTGAATACTTAGATGGTATATAAAAATAAATAAATAAATAATAATATTATACATGAAAAATAGGATGTTGTAAAGGACAAGGTACAATCTGCAGATGGTTTTTAAATAGGTAAATTAACGAATTGAAAGCTTAAGAAAATTTCAATGACTCGCAAGTAATATGTGTAATCTAAGTTTTAGGTAAATATAAATATCCATGTCGAACGCTACCTTTACTACTTGTTAGAAATTTACTTTCACTTTATTTTATTTTTTTATAGTATTCAAAAATTGTAATGAAAAATATTCTGGAAACAAACTTTTCTGAATGGTAATATATAGCTAGCAAAGAAATTTTTCATTTGATTTATTTATATTTTCTATCTGACAGGATTTTTCGTATGTATTTATAACTTTTAGAAGAAGTTAAATAAAAATGATCAATCTTTTCGCAAAGAAATCTGTACCGTTTCGTCGTAATTAACTACTAAAACAATAAAAGTATTCAATACGTTTCAAACATTGTTAACATTTATCATTATATGTGAAAACCGGTCATAATTTTTCATCTAGATTTTCTCAGAACATCTTAATTTGATGTACAGATTCATTACATGGCGATAATTTGAATGATATTAGGTGTGATAATTAATAGTTTCAAAAATTAGAAAACAAAACAATTAGATTATGGTTCATCTACTCAAACTTAAGTCAATATGCCGCTTGTTCCTGATTTTTGTTTTATAATTTAACTTACAATTATTAGTTTAATCACATAAAAACAGATCTTACCTGTAGGTACGTATGTATTTCACAAGAATGTTGTAATAATAATACATCTACTAGTAACACATCACTCAATAAGTCCATAGGACAATTAGGAAAAGCATATTTTTGGCCAATTTTTTTTTATTCATTATAGTTTTCTTCAAAGACGATATACCGATTATAGCGAATTTCGAACTTTTTCATACCACTTTTGTAGTACGATTTGTACTTTGATACAAAATTCGGCGATCAAATCTTCATTCGACAAAAATTTCTTTACAGCCGACATCTTTTTGAGATCTGAGAACAGGATATGATCGTTAGGAAACTGTTTTCACGAATTTGTGATTCAGCACGGTTTTCTTTTTCAAATAGGGGTGTTCCGGGTTTGATCTCCAAATACATTCAATATCGTTATACAATAGTTACTGTTAATGGTCTGGCCTTTCTCAACATAGTTGATGAAGATAATTCTTTGCGAATCCCAAAAAATTGACGCCATAATTATTCGATTCGCGATGTTTGATAATGATAGCTGATATATTTAGGATAACGGCTATCTCAGGCAATTTCACTTTTTGCTTTTCCAAAGGTGGACTTTTTTATGTTTTCCGGTGTAACGACCACAATTGGCCTTGCAGAGCGTTCACAATGGTCAGTGTACGTATGGCCACGAATAAAATCAGCAAACCACTACTTCACCGTTTGCCTCGATTTGGCAGAGTCGAGATAACTTATCAAGCGATACTTTGGCTGTGATGGTAATTTTACTCATCAAAAAGCAATGATAAATTAATTAAGAATTAATTAATAATTAAAAAATTGCTTTGAATTCATGGTTTGGAAAAAAACTCAAAAGTAGCGTAACTTGAACCTACAAATCATATGAATTATTACATACAAACACCATCTATGTGTCATTCTACGGACTTATTGAGTGACGTGTTATTTCCGTTAAATTAGATTAAATTGTATAATATAAATTTATACTATATATATCTGAATAAGTTGTTTCAATTACCATTGAAATTGTCCTCCAATCGTTTCTTCTGTGCTCGTTGTAGGCACAGGGCCGATGCCCTCAAAGTAGCCATGAAGTACCCTTGTTCCTTGACACCGCCCGAGTACAAGGAAACTAAGCCATCCAGGGTTGGCCAACCGTTGTGGTCCAGCTGAATAAAAAGCGTAGATGAAAAGAATAGTAATAAAAATAAAACTTGATCAATACATTATGAGTCGGCGTCTAATTTGTTATATATTCATAAACACTTTACTTGTACTATAGGATTGAACGGGGCTTAAAAATCAACGAGTGAAATGGTCCACAATCAAAATCTCAAAAGCAAATAAAATTAGGAATTTTTTAACAACAGTATTTGAAAGTAAAGGGAAAAAGATATATAATCATTCATCGACACAATTCAAACAATATCGTTATCAGAAGATGAACGGCCTTCTTTGAAAACCAATAACAAAAGTATTTCATTTTGTTGTTAATTTTTTCTGTTGTGAGTAAACTGATGTTTAGTTAACGAAACCTTAATATAATATTTAAGTAATACGTTATTTAGTTGTTGTATATAAAATTAAGTGTTAATTTTATGTTAGATTCAACAGATGTTTTATAACCACTACTTTTTATATAACCTGTCAAAAGCGTAAACAAAACTAGCTGTAAGTGGAATTCTGTCTTAAGGCAATTAAGGCATCGTGCCTTAAGGCAAATTGCTGGAACTTCCCGTACCAAAAATTATTATTTTTTTAAAAACGATTAACATTTTTGAAAAAAAAAAAATACTTCGAAAAGATTAGATTTTTGAGAAACTAAAAATTTGACAAAAAATTACTTTTTTTTATTTATTTTGGAAATTCTAAACTTTTTTCAAAGCAATCGTACTGCTTGAACTGCATAGAGACGAAATGTCAAAGCGCGCAAGTGCCGCGCCGCCGTCTAACGCATAAGCATTGGTACGGAACCCATAGAAATATAAAAAAATGTATACTTATTGTTAAAATCTCTATAAAATATCTGATAATTTGATGTATATGTCTGATGATCATTTTTAACTGCCAAATGGCATTTTTTTTACTTTTTTCATTAGATCTCCGAAACCGCTAGACCTGCCTTCATGAAAATTTGATCAGTTCTTCACCTTGTCAATACAAGTGAAATGTTTTTTGAAATATTCAAATCGGACGCTCCGTTCTCTTAAAAACTGAGTTACCGTTTTCGGCACTTTTTGCCCCGTATCTTTGGAACGGTTAGACCTGCTTTCGCCAAAAACTAATCAGCACGTCCCCTTATCAATACGAATCGAATGTTTTTTGAATTATTCAAATCGGTTGATCCGTGTTCCCGAAATCGTCGACGAATATTTGTATCCGCACACACATACATACACGCACACACACACACATACATACATCCATTTTTTCTAAGGTATGCTAAAATATTCAGAAACCTCTGAAACTTAAAGATATATAAAAATTTTCATTTTCTAACTAAATTTTTCTAAAAAAATCTAACTAAAGTTTAAAAGGCAATTTTACAAGAAATAAATTAAATTAATGGTTATTCCAACTCTGCTGATAAACTTTTCTGACATAATGCTAGATCTAGGTTATATACGTTGTACATCTTTGTGAAAAATGTGCCCATGAAATTATATTTTGCATTGGTTGAATATCGTAGCTTTTATTTTGTAAAAACCCTTTTACATTAAAATTAAAACATTGGATCTGTTTGCCCCCTGGCAGTCCCAATTTACCTCACGCTTATTTATACTTTAGAAATAATTGTTACATGATTACTTCATGAGTAATTGAATCTGTTTATTGATTCATATTTTTCAAACATTTCTTTTGTACAAAAAGTCTGCACCTCAATTTTGAAAATGTGCCGTTAACGCAGACACAAACTCGTATTTTTTATGTTTGGACCCCAAACTTATTCAAAATTGATAGTTACAGTCCATAGTACTTTGAAAGTGCATAGACATGCACTTGAAATTTTAAATCTATGAAATAATATTATATAATATAGCATAATAAAATAAATCATTTTTAAAATCATTGTAAACTGCTACGTAATATCTAATTTATGAGTTTATAGCTCTAGAAGTGATGCAACCTGATCCATTACTTTTTACGGGCGTAACTCGTTACGATAGAATGCAATAATGTATTGCAAAAGCGGATTGACTTAATTTTAGTTATGCTGTGATAAGTTTCTTCTATCTTATGTAATTTAATTCATAGCAAATATTTGCTTGGTAGACACTTACCGCTCCGATTTTCTTATACACGCAATGCAGCAAACACTGAAATTAAAATAAATATATCAATAAATATGTATGATGATAAATTTTGGTTAAGACACTAATATGCAATTTTTCAAACATAGTGCAATTCAAGCTCATAATCTTTGGTTTGACAAAACATTTACACAAATAATGGTCCATCGCATATAAATTCAATGTGGATTATTATGCTTCTTTAAATCAACGTCTTACTTTTAAATATATTATTTAAATAAATATGCAAAAAAGTTTAAATTTAGAATATTTTTTATAAAAATTAATTTAAGTAATGTATATAATAAAAAATAATACATTTTAATAAATCCTTCGCAAATAGGGATTTACAAGTATTATTTTGATTAATACCATTTAATGCATCAAAATCAGATATTGTTGTCAATAAAAAATGAAATATTTTACTAATTCGTGCAGTTTTTTACTTTTTCATTTGATTATATTGATAATAAATTGATATAGTCAATTTTTTGAATGGTTGAAGAAATTAGACTGGTTGAAATGGTTGAAAGATTAGAATTTTTTTATATTTTTCAAATTTTTTGAACGTTCTAAACTTTTTATCAAAGCAATCGCACTACGTAGCTGGTTTGGAGGCGAAGCGAAGTAAGCAGTCTACCGGATAAAAATTGGAACTGAACCCAAAATGTAAACAAAATTTGTATATATTATTAAAATTTCTATAAAATATAAGATAATTTGATGTTCATATGTTTAATGATCACTTTCGACCGCCAAATGGCTTTTACGGATTACTTTACTTATAGGATCTCCGAAACTGCTGAACAAGCCTGTCCAAAAATTTAAACAGTTCTTAATTTTGTCAATACAAATAACATGTTTTAGAATTATTTAAATCAAACGTTGTCTCAAATACTGAATTACCATTTTTGGTACTTTTTGCCCATATCTTCGAAACGGCTGGTCCTGTCTTTATCAAAAAGACAGCACGTCTTCCCATTAATACGAATAGGATGTTTTTAATTTATTCAAATCGGCTCTTCTCTATTTTCGAAATTATCGAAATCCGCACACATGCATTCATTTTTTCTGGGGTATGCCAAAATGTTCGACGGTTTTACTACTAGCGAAAAATTTTAGAAGGTCTACTAACGAAATAAAATAATGCAAAAATTAGATTACTTGCGTGTTCTGGTTTTTTGGTTCAGATTTTGATGTTTGAGGTGAGTTAAACAATGTATATTACTACATATGATAGTATTGTTTGTTTGTCGGAATGAAACTATACGTGAAATAGCATAAATTATTAATTATTTGTTTATTACGATTTACACAATTACGAGAACGATACGGTGCGCGAACTTGACAGGTGTGTCGCGGAAAATTTTCACTTTCCTAAAATCCCGAAAGCGAAACACCACCTTTTAAAAATCATGGGTATCGAACCATATCTAGAACGTAATAATGTAATTGTATGTCTTAAAACTTCATTCAAATCGATTTTATTTTGATTTGTTTATTTATATAATTATTATGAAGGCAATCTAATACAGGTCGTAGGCTATAAATAATATCTGAACATTTTGGCATACCTTAGAAAAAAATGGATGTGTGCATGTGTATGTGTGGATAAAATTTTTTGTCGACAATTTCGGCTGTTTTTTTAAAAAAAATTTTTTGAATATCGAAAATAATTCGGATTTTATTTCTAAGTTCTAAAGCTCACTTATATACTTTAAATATATAATTTTAACTTTGAAATTTAGTTTATATAATTCCTATACATAAATATTAGACAATGTCCTTCATTTTGAAGTGTATTGATTAAATTTTATTTATTTACATTTCATGTAAACATATATAAACGTCGTCGTCCAATTTATAAGCTCTTATATTTTGTTTATAAAATAAGTATAATAAAAGCTACTGCATTTATCTATTGGAAAACATTTAATATTCCTCGATGACACGATGCCATTCAACCCTAGTTAAAATTTTGTATTGAAAGCTTTGAATCACAAATCAGTAAATTTTAAAATTTTACTCCATTTGTCAGTAGAAAAGTCTAATAAAAATCTAATCAATAATATCTAATAAAATCTAATTAATATTAATAATAAGAATTTGCATTGTTTATATTTATATTATTGAATAATTGAACAAAAAATAATCTAAAAAATAATATAAAAATATTTTAACCAATTTCTACTAAATTTCTATATTCATTTATTAACTGTTTAAGAACACACTAATACAAACTAATATTTGATCTCAATCTCATTTTTATTTTATGTATACTTTTTACCACCTTGATCCAAAAATGTATCTTCAGTTTTCAGAAGAAAAAATTAGTATAATTACAGGGAGTTAAAAGAGATTGATTCCAAATAAATGTGATCCGTTTTGTATCTAATTGTATGGTTTTTTAAAAATAAATTACTAGTAAAGAAAATTGATATTACCCCGGCGATCCTCTTGTCGTCAGTATTGGTAACACTTGGAGGAGCATTTGGATACCTCGGTGATGACAGGAGGGACACAGCCGCTTCCCTTTTTTGCCTTTGGAGCTTTTGTTCTTTTTGTGATTGTTCAGTGATTATGTTTAAGGCCTCTGGAAAAAATATGTTTTTATAAAATCAGTATTTTATTTGAACTTTTTTGCAATGGCAGGTATTTATTTATTAACAATGATTACTGTGAAGATATTGTAATGATGTTGATCAATTTTATCATTTAACATTTAAACTATTATAACTGATAAGTATAATTATATATATATATATATATATATATATATATATATACTAGATGACCCGACAGACGTTGTCCTGTACACATGTCTGCAATTTTTTAATATAATATACTAATATTTACCGTTTACCTTATAATAATAATTTTTTTTTTTAAATTACTCTTCACGCCAAAATGCATATACATTTATAATATGAGCGATGTTAAATGTAGAACTACTTTAAATAAAATGATGAGTCTCAATTTCCACACTATATTGGAAATTGAAGTTTTTTAAACGGTATAACATAACCATGACCATAACATAACACTGGTATTTCATGTTGGATTAAATTAAATTAATTTTTTATTATTTAAGTTATCGAAAATTGCATCTTAAACTTCTCCTAATCGATATTGTGAGGGCCGAATTGTATGTATTCATCTCTACTTTCTCATTTGTTGTTATAAAGTGAAATTTTTACGATTTTTAAAAATATTGTAGAAAGATTAGTAAAAGATGCAAAGAAATTATATATTGAAAAAAGAAACTATATTGAAAATTTAATATCCGAACCTTGTGTTGGCGCACCCTAAGGCGTGCGCTTGTATTTTTCGCATGCATCGCATTAAAGGTAGGTCCGGCCCTGATTCATACTTAACTTCAGATTTCAAGTAAATTAATTTGTCTTAACCTGTTCATATGTGTATCATTCAATCTGCCATACATATACTGTATTTTATATTATTTTAATTTCTGGCACATCTCAACTGCTTTTTGGCAATAATAATTTTAATTAATTTTTAAATATTTTTATTATTCATTCATAATCATAAATTTATTGTACATATTCTAATATTGTCTAGGCTCATAAGTAAATTGAAATTTTTGGCAATTGATAGTTTTCATTTGTTTTCAATGCAAAAAATGACCTATCGTTTCTTACAATTGTTTTCAATTATTTCTACAATATTGCAAATACATCCCAGCACTATAATCACATACATCCTAGAAAATTTCCTTAACAAGCATGAGAAAGATTTATCAAAATCCGAATAATCGTTTAGAAGGAGTATACAGCGAGTGCTTGTAATTTAATATGAACTTTATATAATAGCAATAAAACTCAAATTGCTTCTACGTTTTCGTTAGAAACTTGGACTTCAACAAACATTTTAAAAAAAGAATTGGCCAAATTGGTCCAGGCATTGTTGAGTTATGCGCTTACCAACACATTTTGCGATTCATTTTTATATCTACATACATATATACATATTATAATCTTATCATAAGCTATATACGTATTGGAAACTGCAGTTTTTTTATCAGTATAGGAAATTCAGAAAGTCTAAATAGTATCTACGGTAAAAGAATAATATAATAATATCACCTTTGTTATTTCCAACCTATATAATTGATTCAATAATTGCGTACCCTATATTAGTTGCTTGTTGCAATTACAATTTCCAAATTACATTTTTTTACTAATAATTTAATAAACATTATTACTTTAGTTAAAATCTAGTGAATTAATTTGTAAAATCTAGTTCATATGGCACTATTCAATCAATTCAATTTTTGACACATAAAACAAAATTCTGAATTATTATTTCAATAAGTATAAATATTCTTTTGTATTTAAATGATTTAGTAAATTAAAGCAAAATTTAACATGTATAAGTTTAAAAAATAATGTATATGGTATATGCAAAATTGAACGTATTGTGTTATTTATTAAACTAAATTATATATTTCTACTGCCAAACATATATTGTTTTAATTTCTGTCACATCTCAGCTGGTTTTGGGCAATAGTATTGCATATATTACATTTTTCTTATTTATAATCATGAATATAGATATTATATACTAGGCTCGCTTAAACTAACTTCAAATTTCAAGTGAATCGACATTTTTGGCAGATGATGGTTCTCATGTGTCGAAATGTTTTCAATGTCAGACAATGATATTTTTCTATTGATTTCTACAGTATTACTATAGATTTATAATTTTTTACATCTTGAAAATTTCCCTCAACAAACTGTAAAATGATTTATTAAAATCCGAATCCCGTTTAAGAGGAGTATAAATTCATAATGTATGAAGAATTTTATATATAAGATTTATATATATATATATATATATATATATATATATATATGTATATATATATATATATATATATATATATACATTGTAGTATGTAAAGGTGTTGATATATATTAAAACGAGTGTGTTAAGTTGGGGAAATAGCACCAAGTAAAAATAAACTAAAGCAATTAGGAAATCAGCTTTATTAATCCATACGTTTCAGTTTTCATGGAGAGCGTCATTCAGTGGCAAACGAGAAAGTTTTTTTATAATGAATTTAGAAAAGAAAATGAATGCAAACATATTGGACTTAAAGATAGGTGCTCACGGACAAAAACAATTTAACACCACACTACACTAATTAACACAATTGCAACACCAAGCTATCAATAGTTCACACATTTAAAACTAATTATGAGTTTGAGTTAAAAAAACTAAATTTGTGTCTATAAAGTTTTTTTTTTAAATGTGCGAACTGGTAAAAACATCTGTGCTACTCCGTGTTTGCGGAAAATTGTGGAAATCTATCCCAGTCTTTCATCCAATGACGATACATTTCCACAATTTTCCGCAAACACATACGCACACATTTTACTTGTTACACAAACTCCAAGCTGAAAACATGTTTCGTTTGGAATAAGCTTTTTTATAAAAAATAAATATATCATTTATTTTTATTTTCATTTTAATTTTACAATTATTTTAAATTTATCATAACTCGCCGTTTATCAATTTGTGTTTCATAATTTTTTCGTGCAATTTTCGTGTTATTTTTGTGTTTTTTCAATTCATTTGTATGGTGAGTTCTTTACATTTGTTTATGCCTATTTTTTTCATTTTTATATACTTATATACTTTCACAATATATATTAGTTACAAAACAGATTTATTAATTTGTTTAGATTTATGCTTTTTTACATGTTTTTATTTATATTTTTATGTAATTATGTATTTTTTATATTGTTTTAAATTGTAACCTTGAAAAGACCCGAAACGTATGTTTTCTGAATAAAAACATTTTCTTTTAATAAAACTGTTTTTAATTACTGGATGGATGCCCAAGAGCAATTTTATCATTTTATCATATATATATATATATATATATATATATATATATATTAGGGTGGTCCTTAAAATGGTCATTTTCGAATTTCCTTGCTCCCATAGGCTCAAATGGTTCTAAATTGATAAAAAACAATTCTCTGAAAGTTTTAGCTCTTAATATTAACGTTTAGATAGAGCGCAATTCAATCAAAGTTTGTATATATATATATATACAGTGCTGGATTTACAGTAGGGGCAATCGGGGCTACTGCCCAGGGCGGCAGATTTTGGGGGGTGGCAAAATTTGGATAGTGAGAAAAAAAATTCTATACAATATAATCAACTTTTTTTAAGAACATTTTTTATTTTAAGAAATCTAATTAACAAAACATAATACGATTGCAATGCAAAATTTTGGTTGAAATAAACGTTAACTAAAACTCATTATTTTGCCTTGCCTCCCTCTCCGAACGCAAATTATCAAATTGGTTAATAAGTTATCAAATTTGGCAATTTGGCTAATATAAAGATCCGTAAACAAGCTGAAAGTTTAAGAAAAATATGTTCTTCAGTTCTCGAGCCCTCTTAATATGACGAATTTGTGCACTTCCAAGCTTACTACTGACTCATGGCATTGACTGACAAATTACTGAAACATCTCGTACTAAAATTTACATTTTATAAAGAGCTTTAACATTTTTTAAAAAATGAAAAAAAAAAGACTTTTAAAAGACATTTTTCGTATTTTGAATTTTTTTGAAAATTATGAACTTTTTGCAAAGCAATCAATCGCGCTGCGTAACTGTTTCAGAGAAGAAATATCGAAACTCAATTACCATTTTTCGTAATTGCTTGTCCCAAAAGCTAATCAGCACGTCTCTCCATCAATACAAATCTAATATTTTTTAATTATTCAAGTCAATTTCGAGAACATGGATTAACCGATTTAAATGATTCAATTGCTATTGATAAGGAGACGTGCTGATTAGTTATTGGCCAAGGCAGATCCAACTGTTTTGAAAATACGGGTCAAAATTCCAAAAATGATAGTTCCGTTTTTGAGAAAAAAAGCGTCCAATATCATTCAAAAAAATTACAGAATAAATAACTGCTTAGATTTGTGGGGGGCAGGTTTAGCGGTTTCGATGATCCAATAAAAAATTTGAGAAAGAAACATTTGGCGGACAAAAGTGATCATAAGACATATGCGCATTAAATTATTAGATATCTTAAAGATATTATAATAATAAGCATAACTTTTGTTTACATTTATATGCGTTCTGTAACATTGTTTATCAGTTGAGTGCGACGCGGCGCTTACGCGCTTCTATATTTTGTCCCTTCGCAACTGAAGCAGCGCGATTGCTTTAAAAAAAAGTGCGAAAGTTCGTAAAATTTCAGGGATGGGGCGGCATTTTTGTCAGTGCCCCGGGGCGCCAAATTTCTAAATCCGGCCCTGTATATATATATATATATATATATATGTGTGTGTGTTTGTGTGTTTGTATATGCATATATATTGTGTATATTCTAAAATTCTTAGAAGTCCTACTCGTTAAACACAATCTTGTAATTAATACTCAAAATGTTACTATTTTAAGCGAATTCTTCTATTTATAATTATTTGCACATTATGAAATGTATGTGATTAATGTTGTTATAACAATTAAATTACATAACCACGAAAAAAGTAATTTATTACAAAATATAATATAATTAGAACAATTTTGTAGAGTGTGAGCCAAGGCCAAACTCATCATCTTGTACTCATTACTGTAATACAGAAATTTTAATTGAACTTAATAGTAAAATAATCGTATGGCACATAATGTATAAAAATTCGCAGTCTGATTTTGAAATAATAATTACATTTGTTAAATTTTATATTAAGAAGTGTGTTGGAGTAAGTAAGTAAGATGAGTAGTTATGCGCAGGGTAGCTTCGGTTTTTAGTAAAATTAATATTTATTAGCAGTGCAAATATTTTTTAAATAAATGTTAACTTGATATATAATTTTTAAATGAATGTTAACTATAGATATACCTAGTGTAGGGCGAAGCACAAAGGTCTAATTTGACTTTAAGTTATTATACTGTCTAAACTAAATAAACTGCATCACAACAAATAACACAGTAATAAACAATTATCAAACTATGTTAATTAAAATTCCCAGTTAATTCCTAATTATAAAAATGTGTGTTTTCACTTTTTTTCTAAAATTTTTCTCCTGTTCATAGGCTGGGTAAAAAGGGATAGCCAGGAAGCAAACTGATCCAATGTCTTAATTTTAAATTCAAATAGATTTTACGAAATAATTGCTACATTATTCAAACAATGCAAAATATAAATTTCATATGCATATTTTTTACAAAGATAACACTGTATATAGATTTGATCTGGTTTTTCGTCTGAAATATTCATCAGCAGAGTTGGAATAACTATTATTTATCTTTTTTAAAATCTCTATTTTTAATTCAATTTACCATTTTCTTATTGTTTATAACTTTGCCAAGGTGAAGTTTCAGTTGACCTTTTTCACCCCACTCATATGTTAGCTTTCATAGAAGTTATATTATATAAAAACATCTGTTGAATTTAACTTAAAAACTAAAATTCATAAAAATAAAACACTTAAAAATTATATTAAGGTTTCGTACACTAAAAAATACATGTTATACATGTATTAACATAGTCGGATAATCGGACATAACATTAATGAAAAACATGAATTTACATGAATCAATTAACGAGCATGCTTGTCATGCGAATAAATCTTTGATCATAGACTATTTAGATTGAAATTTTTGAAAAGTAAATAACAAAAAATATTGTAAATTTTCAAGAAGTTTAGAAAAATGCAGACTATGCTGGTATGAAATAAATAGTTGTTAATGGCATTCTGAATATATTTTATGCCGATTCTGACTACATAAAACTTACAGTTCGAGGAATACCTTACAGTTAACTGGTTAACTGGAATTAAAGTATATGTATGAGAATCGACAGGTGCTAGTTCTTAATTCTTATGTAAAATTGAGGGCATCATGATTTTTCTAACATTGAACTACAAGATCATACACAATAATTATTCTAGTTATGAAATCTTTATTGCTAATGCATTTGTTTAACGACACGAGATTCAATTGCGACGCCTTTCTGTAATGTTTTAACCTTGATCCGATTGCATCCTAAATGAAAAACTAGTTTAATACCAACTCTTAATATTGACAGCAAACTCGAGAAAAAACTCAATTGTGTCACGATGTTATTATTTTTTGTAATTTGATTCGGTTGCAAAATTCAAGAAAAAGTAATTGGTAATGGTTAAGGCATTATGGACTACCAATGCTTTCAAAGATATGCTAATAAATTAAATCCACGGGAATAAGATTCGCCAAAGACCTACTATCATTGATTACTAAATTGCCTATGAATAATTAAATGAACTAATAAATAAAAAAAAGCTCAGTATAATATATATTTATTCTGGTTATTCGAGATTTCTTAAAATGACAATTCTAAGTGTTTCGGACAATATACTTTCTATTATATTTTTTGTTATAACTAATATATACATATATTGTTCATGATAATTAGTGTATATGTATTGTGTTGTACTCGACCGTTTTCAGTTATAATTCAAATAACAAATATTAAATTTATATAAAGAAAATACTTGGTTCAAGTTGTTCAGAACTTTCTTTTTGCAGCCGCAGAGTAGCAGTTTCAAATACTGCGTTACGTACATATTTGAAAGTAGGGGGTAAAAGATGTATAACCAACTTTATTTTGATTCGTATGACGTCGCCATCAGAAGATTGCAATGCTTGAAAATCCATAACAATAGTATTTTATTTCGTTGTTAGGTTTTTGGGTTGTGAGCACTGTTCTCTAGTCTACGAGACTTTAATATAATTTTTAAATATACGTTATTTAATTTCTTTCATAAGTTGTATTGTCAAATTAGATTCAACAGTTTATTTTAAATAACCCCTATAAAATCTTACAGGTCAGTGGAGTAAAAAGGATCAACTGAACATAGGTATAAACAATAAAAAGTCCTAAATAAAAAAAGTAAATTAAGTTAAAAAAAGCAATTCAACACAAGTTAAGTTAAATAAATAGTTATTTCAACTCTGCTGATGAATATTCCTAACGAAATATCGAAATACTAGATCGGGGTTATACACCTTCGTATTTCAATTATCTCTTAAAAACTGTGCACATGAAATTTATATTTTGCAATGGTTGAATAGGGTAGCTATTAATGTGTTATTTGTTGAAATATAATTGGTTTGGTTTTTGCAATATAATTATCAAGCCAAATTGGACCTTTGTGCTCCGCCTTACCATACATATATGTATATATGTATATGTATATATATATATATATATATATATATATTTTAGGGTGGTCCTTAATATGGACATTTTCGAATTTCTTTGCTCCCAAGGGCTCAAATGGTTCCAAATAGATAAAAAACAATTGTCAGAAAGTTTTAGCTCTTAATATTAACTTTTAGATAATGCGCAATTCAATAAAACTTCGTATGGAAATAGCAAATTAAATTCCAAATTTGAAAATGAAAAAAAATTTTTTAGGTATAACTTAGCGACAAATGAATTAAAAGTGAAAATTCGTGTCATATTTTAATGAAAATTCGACGTTCTGCAAAATTTTCGAAAAATTTGTCATGCTATTTCCATACAAATCTTTGATTGAATTGCGCTCTATCTAAAAGACAATATTAAGTGCTAAAACTTTCAAAAGCCAAAAACTAATCACCTCTTCTCCCAATCATTACAAATTGAATGTTTTTTAGATCATTCAAATCCGATACTCCGTTCTCTCAAAAACTCGATTTGTATTTTCTGCACTCTTTGCTCCGTATCTCCGTAACTGCTGGACCTGCCTTTGCCAAAAACTAATCAGCACATCTCCCTATCAATAGGGATCAGAGTATTGTTTTTTTATCAATTTGGAACGATTTGAGCCCTTGGGAGCAAGGAAATTCAAAATGTCCATATTAAGGACCACCCTAATATATATATATATATATATATATATATATATATATATATATATATTCATTACCTTAACTTAATATTCAAATTCAACTTTAGTTATAACTATTATAAAGAACTATTGTTTTTGCAACTAAACCCATATCGTAGTAACCACTAGGCTTTCTTGGCACCTACCCTGTTTGAATGATTTGCATATTGCATGATGTACGTACTCACTGATTTAGCTTTAGAAAATTCATCGTTAGTTAACGCTAATTAATTACATAACAAAACCAACATTTCGATATATTTCTTTTTCTTACATTTTATGCAAATTTGGTGACACAGATTACAAATTGGAAAACGACACGAATCGTAAATCCCATTATTTAAGCATCGGCGGCATATATGGCATATGGTACTTTAACATTTGCTGTTCATCACATGGAATGTGTTTTATTTGCACAAACACATTACGAAACCATTTGTTTTTGTTGTTGTTTTTTTATTTATGAGTTTAAGATTTGATTATTTACATTTAATTATCTATTCTGCTTGGAAGATGTAAAATGAACCTGGTCGTTCTCGACGAAGACCGAAACGTATGGTTAAATAAAGCCCTTTTACAACTGCTTTAGTTTTTTTTTACTTAGTGTTACTGCCCGAATCAAAATAACTCATTAATATATATATATATATATATATATATATATATATATATATATATATATGGGCTGCAAATATATATATATATATATATATATATATATATATATATATATATATATATATATGCTGCAAATATATATATATATATATATATATATATATATTGGGCTGCAAAAAATTTTACAAATATATATATATAAATATATATATATATATATATATATATATATATATATATACGCATGGATTATTCTTAGAATTTTTGAATGGCCGGTGTATTTGAATCAGTAAATAATTTAAAGGCCACATGTTCAAAAAATTCCTCAAAGGCAATTCTGGTGTCTTACCCAAAAGAATGGTCTGCTTGACTTCCTCTTGACATGTGTTGATGACATTCTCGATGGCCTTGGGCGCCGTAGGCTGTGTCAGACATCTGGTGGGCTGAAATAGTGGGCGAAAAATCAACTCAAGATTACGAATAAATTATTCGCTGTTGGCTACTGCCTTTAGTTACTTGTCTTATTGATTCTGTGGATATATGTAATTCGATAATTGTCACTTACTTGTTTAAAACCATCTATAATAATATTGTAATGTGTAAAACTCATACTCAATAAGGCAAAATTTTCAAACTTTATTATTTACGTTTCAAGCTGAAAATTATTGGACATAGATTATTCGTTTTTGTTGATGCATAATTTTTATACTTATTCTCTCTTGTGCACAAAAAACTATTTATTCCAAATTCAAACAAAATTTCAGTACCTAATACATTAATTGTGACAATCGTTTATGAAACTGCAAACAATAATTTATCTATGCTCGGTTCAGTGAAAGCATTATCACTGCCTCTTAACATGTTTGAAGATGAGCTTTAAACAACTAATCCACGAGAATATCGGTCTAATCTTATCATAGATTTATTTCGTTAAAAATTGAATTTGATTTATTACCCGTGCCTATTTGGTATGAGGAACTAATGTTAAAAGTTCTAGTTTTCACAATATCTATTCATTGATCAATTTTTGTTAAATGATTATTATTATTTCTCGAATGTTTAATTACTCTACAGGAAGATTCAGCAATTTGCTTTTATGCAGGGTGCCATGCATCACCAGTTATTTTTGATTTTAGTCCAATTTATTCGTGATCCACTATGAAGACATACATCAATATAGAACAAATTTAAGGGTCAAAACTTTGCATTTGGAGTCAGTTATTCCTGTGGCAACTTTTCGGACACTTTGCGTTTTGAGTCAGTTTTCCGTGTGGAAACTTTACAGACATTTTGCGTTTTGAGTCAGTCATCCCTGTGGTAACTTTTCAAGCATCTCAAACATTTGAACTTAGTATCACATAACTAATTTATTAAATTCAATTTGAAATCTCTTATATCCGAATTTAGTTAATTATCCGAGCCAATAGTCTAAGAAAGGTTTAAGTTTGGACAAATAGTATTTGTCAATTTTTTTGGCAATTTTGATCTAAATTTGGGAAACGTTGGTGAACTTCATTATGCAATATTATGTCAGCGGCCGCATAAAATCGTGAAAGCAAAAGTGGTTATCGGTGTAGACTATGGACAAACAAAAAATCGCCATGTATGGCCGCGCTATCCGCATTTGCATACAGACGTCTGAATAAGGGACTTTTCACACGAGGTACGGCGACTTGAAAAGGTCATTTGAAAAAATATTATATCTATATCTTGATGTTCTTTTGATGTTTTTACTAATGTAAATCTATGATAACAAGATTGACTACAATAATTCTTTAAAACAGGGTTATGAGTATTTATCAAACGGAGCACAGTTTCTTTTATGTTACAACTAGCCCTCAAGGTTTCATTTCAACTAATATTATTTTTTTACATTAATCATAACAACTATTAATACGATTTAGCAATCACAACTAATGGGGCGCATGGCATCGTGCCTTAAGGCAAATTGCTGGAACTTTCCGTACCAAACATTATTATTTTTTTAAAAACGATTAACATTTTTGAAAAAAAATTACTTCGAAAAAATTAGATTTTTGAGAAACTACAAATTTGACAAAAAATTGCTTTTTTTGAAAAAAAAAATGTTTTCCAGATGGCATTTTTTTACTTTTTCCAATCTTTTGGCACTTTTTGCCCCATATCTTCGAAATGGCTAGACCTGCCTTTGCCAAAAAACTAATCAGCACGTCTCCTTATCAATACGAATCGAATATTTTTTGAATTATTCAAATCGCTTCATCCATGTTCCCGAAATCGTCCACGAAAATTTGTATCCGCACACACATACACACACGCACACACACACATACACACACATACATTCATTCTTTCTAAGATATGCCAAAATATTCAGAAACCTCTGAAACGTAAAGATACATAAAAATTTTCATTTTCGATTTTTTGCGATTGCTATAACTTACCCTACGGGAGTTAAGAAAATGAAAATTAATTAAAAATAATTAGGAAAGAAAGAATAATACTAGAAAATATGCATGCATATCGATAAGAAGCTGAATAAACTCATTCAATATATTATCTTCAATTATAAATTTAATTAATTTCCCGAAGGAGAAGTTTATGTTTTCATCAATAATCCGAATTGGAATTTTATGTTTTGTCGATGTTTTAAGCCATTCTGAATCGAATGAGACCAAATTTGGAAAAAGTATGTGTGTGTGTGTGAGTATGTGTATGTGAACAGATTTTTTGCCGTAAATCGACGTTTCCTCGAAAACGGCTGGACCGATTTCAAAAATTTAAAAGCCACTCGATGTATCTCGATGAGGACTATTGTTTGTCAGTTTTGTGCGACGATCGGTCAAGCCGTTTTTTTATAAATCGCAGAAAAGTGAAACATTTTTCGTCTACGTTTTAGCCCGCAATTCTGAATCGATTTTGAAAATTCAAAAACCGTTCGAAAGATATTGGTTGGGAATCGTGCTGATTAGTTTTTGGTAGAGATCGGCCGGGCCGTTTTCTTGTAATAAAGTTTTTTTAAAAAAAACTTCGACGATTTTTATGATTATTTTTTTGGCGGTAGATACCATAGTCTTCTAGGTCATACTAAAATATTACGGCCCTACAACAACTGGTTTAGCTTTAAAAATTCGTCAAAGTTTGCAAAAATTAGTATGGTCTTTTTGGCATTTGTCAAAATTAGAACTTTCATCGACTTTTGCTGAAAAACGCCTGAACCGATTTCAGATATTTAAAAAGCATTTGATGTATCTCGATGAGGATTATCGTTTCTCAGTTTTGTGCGACGATCGGTCGAGCCGTTTCTTTGTAATATAGAAAAAAGTGTTAAACCTTTTGTCCACATTTAAGCTCATACTACCGAACCGATTTTAAAAAATCAAAAACTGTTCGAAAGATATTGGTTGGGAATGATACTGATTAGTTTTAGGTGAAAATCTACTGAGCGTTTTCTTGTAATTAACTGTTGACAAAAAAAATTAGGCCGATTTTTATGGATCTTTTTTTGGCGATATATATCATGGTCTTATAGAACTTACTGAATTATTACGGTCTTACGACAAGTAGTTTAATTTTAAAAATTCATCAAAGTTTGAGAAAATGAGTAGTTTTTTTCACGTTTGTTAAAAATAAAATTAGATGATTTAGTTAGTATAACGATAGTGTACTTGATCTTGAACTTAGTAAACCATTAAAGTCCTACGGAAACTGGTTCAATTATAATTATTGATTTTTGAAAATTTGCTTCTAGAAAATACTCCGAGTTAACGTGTTCGTTCGTTCGTTTGCAATGATGTGTAATAAATCCACTCGGAATACTTATAATCACTCATAAATTAATTTATTTTTTATTGATTAAGTCGATTATTTACACATTTCGGGAAGTTCATGTAACTTACCTCAAGGCAAAATACCAATACCAACTAGTTTTAAATATTATTTTATTCATATGGTGTGAAAATACTATAAATCAATCAGCATGGTACTGTCATAGATTTATGCAAGATTTTGCCACCTGAGTTGTTTTAAGATTAATTACTATATCCCGCAAAGTGCATTCCTAGATGTAAGTAAACTAAATACATTACTGTAATCTACTGTCAAGAATAATGGTATAAAATTCCGCACATTTTATGAACAATTTGTTTAAAAAACTGGTGGGCAAAAGCAGGTCTAGCTGTTTCGAAGATACGGAGCAAAATAAGCCAAAAATAGTAATCTAGTTTTTAAGAGAACGGAGCGTCCGATTTGAATAATTCAAAAAACATTTTATTTATATTGATTAAACAAAGAACTGTATACATGTTAGGAAAGGCAGGTACAGCGGTTATGGACTCTAGAAGAAAAAATGTTAAAAAAATGCCATTTTTCGATCAAAAACATTCATTAGGCTCATCAAATTAACGGATATTTTATAGATATTTTAATTTTGTGTCAATTTTTTTGGGTTCCGTACCAAGATTTTTAATTTTAAAATTTACGTATATGGTTCAAACAAATGTTCTCGGCATTGTTCTTGACAGTATGGAATAACCGATTTGTATTATCGCGAGGCGTTTTTGTGAAAGGCAATTTTGCCGTTGCGGAAGTATATGGCGCGCAAAGGGTGTAAAAATGGTTATGCAGTTTTTGAGAAAATTAAATTCATCCGATTAAATTAATTCAAAAAAACATTTTGCTTGATTAGACCGTGTGCCAAAAATGCTTTTAAAGAAAATGGTTGATAAAAATAAAAAGTATTTTGAAGTAAAAAGGTTTCAATTCATAGAAAATTAAAATAAAGAAAATTAGTCAAAAAATTTAAAAAAAAATGTTAGTGGTGGACAACCCTTGATAAAGATACATCGTGTTTTGAAGTAAAAAGAGTTGTATATAATTTGTCTGTTCCGCATTTAAAAAATTAAAATAAAAAAATTAACCCTTTAAAATAGTATTAAGATTGGATAACACTTAATAATAATAAAATGCATTGTAAAGAAAAATTTAAGCCTTTTCTTCAAGATCAAAAATCTGAACTAAAATTATGTTAAAAATATTCAATGAGTGAACGTCGGATAAAAGATGATTGAATTGCTAACATGGTTATAAAAAATAGTGGTCGGCGATAAAAATGAAAAATGGGTTGTATGTATATTTTAATGCTACATTATCAAAAAATAAAAACAAAAAAATTGACCAAAAATTACAAAAAATACTTTAAATATATATATATATATATATATATATATATAACACTCGTATTTTTTGTACTTTTTGGACAAATGTTTTTTGTTTTTATTTTTTGATAATGTAGCATTAAAATATACATAGGGTAGAGCGGGGCTAAAAATTCTACGGATTAAGGTCTAAAGTACGACGCCGCTATCAGGAGATAAATGTTTGAACATCTGTAACAATAGTATTTGCTTTTGTTGTTAGTTTTTTTAGTTGTGAGCACTGTTGTTTAGTTTCCGAGGTCTTAATATAATTTTTAAGTAAACGTTTTTTAATTGGTTTGTAAGATGTTTTGTAGATTTTGGACTATATAAACTCTATAAAATCTAACACGTGAGTACGGTAAAATGGACCAACTGGACCTTTACCCTTGCAAAGATGTAAACATTGAAAATTAGTAAATTAAAATGTAAATTA